TAGCAAAAGAGTCACATTTTGGGATATACAGAGAATGTAAATTGTTTTGTTGTCATTTGTTTCTTGACAATGGTACGAGTCAGTACCGAAAGCTCGAAATTGTTGAATAAAATTATTGAATTTAGTTAAAATTCTTAATATGTATTGTGTTGTGGTCTTATACAAATTATTTCACTTTATTATTCCTACCGCTATACTTTCTAATTATATGAAATTAGTTTTCTAAACATCATAAAAAGATTAAATAATTTAGACAACTGTAATTTTGAGTCATCTTTCTTTGTCAGTTATTCTAATATGTCATGTGATATTAGAATAGTATGACGTTTTAAATAAATATCTTTTTTTATTTTTATTATAGTTATTATACAATACTTCTCTTCTCTCCTGAGGCTGTTTAGAAGTTAGCATTCTTGACACGACCGATGTTTCTCATTTCAAACCTGAACTGTCGAGTTCTACTTTAAAATAATTTTCTTTTATACTAAACAATCTTCTTCGCCTCATTTGTATCAATCAGTATTTTCTATTTAAACACACTTTATATTATACTAAATTATTTAACAAAAATATTTTAATTCTGTATCTGAAATTTTGCTTTTTGTTTTTATATTTTTGATAATCAGTGCTCATCATTTTCTCATTCATCATCATTGTTATAGAACAAATTTATGTTGAACTTTTTTTTTGTCCATATACCATTTGTATCATGTAATGTTGAGTATTCAAATATTTATACGAGATAACAAATTTATTTAACAAATATAATTTACTCACAAATAGGTGTACTTTCCCACAAAATCATTAACAAATTGTTTTTCAAGTTGATTTTATTCTGAATATTCAGAGATATTATTTATTTTTTTAAATATTAGGAAAATTATTATATTCAAAACTTCATAAAAACTAATATTACTAAATAATATGAAATTACGCTGTATGAAGTTATTACATGATCTATGAATTAAAGTGACGAGACTTTCGCTCGCTTTGCTCTTTAAGCTTGAAAAATAGCAAAAGCGTTCGTTATTCGATAAAATCATGCTGTGAATAAAATATAACACAATTAAATAACTTTTCTAATTAATATCTTATTTTTTTCTAAAATAGATACATGTTTTTATCTTCTCATCGTTTCTGTAGCTTTTTTTTTCTTCTTGTTTTTGTTTTAATATTTTTGTACTAAGAAAAATTAAATATACTTGTGTTTCTGCTTGCATACGTACTGCCTACTTCCAAAGAATATGTTCGGTCAACGTCATCTATCTGCTAAAAGTTGCTTCCTTTATTTATATTGATGCGAGAAAAACATAATTCTAGTAAAAAATAAGATAACTTTTATTTGTGATGTTCTTCAGTTATGATAAAAAAACTTTGTCTTGCCACCCTCAAAGTAGTCGAAAGATGTAACAAAATTTTTACTATTACTATTTGAAATAATGTTAACATAAATTTTCTCTAGACTATATCGAAGAAAATGCCTAATGAATTATGTCTGAAACCATTGGATTCTGCTCGCTATGTAATGCAACATGCTAAACATGTATCGATCAGTATTGATGGTATAAAAAAAGTGGCAGCTATGGTAAGTATTTAAAGTAAACTTTTAATTTTGGTCTTAATTTATTTCATTTTCTTTTTTTCGTTTTTTTGTTTAACTAGATTTCTAACAAGATAATGGATGGTGAATGCACAATTGAAGAATGGTCAAAAAAACCCTTACATCCAAAAGAAGCAAATGAACAAGCAATCGATTGGTGAGCAGTATACCAAAATATATTGTTAATTTTACTTTACTTTTATTTTTGTTTATTCATGTTTAGGATATTTTTGGTTGATACATTGAATTTTTCATTTTGGTCTGATAGTAATGATTCGTATGAAAAAGTCTACAAGGGAAAACGATATCATGGCTATGAGGCATTATGTGCTGCCATTAATCAAGCTATTGACGTAAGAAAATGTAATTTATTGTGTCTGTTTGTGTGTAAAATATATTTTTTTCTCATGTTTATAGAATGGTATCGACATTTTAAATGCCTCCTATTATTCTCAAATGACAATGACGGATTTCATAAAAATATTTCAATCTGATTCTTCATACGAGATGCCATTATTAAATGAAAGATTACAAGTTTTACATGAAACAGGACAAATTCTTATTGATGTAAGTACAGAACTGAATTTAGATCAATTGTTTGAACATATTTTACTTTTTAATCTAGAAATATTCTGGTCATTTTTCTAATTGTATTCGTCAAGCCAATTTAAATGCTCATACATTATTAGATTTTATTGTTGATAATTTTCCATCTTATCGTGATGAAGCCGTTTATCATGCACAACGTGTTAGCTTTTATAAACGTGCTCAAATATTAATTGCTGATATTTGGGCATGTTTTCGTGGTCAAGATCTTGGTCATTTTCATGATATTGATACCATTACGATGTTTGCAGATTATCGCGTTCCACAAGTTTTATTTTATTATCACGTATTGATTTATACCGATAAATTAGTGGCAAGATTGAAGCATGAAATGTTACCAAATGGTGATAAAGATGAGGTCGAAATCAGAGCAGCAGCAATCGTGGCCACTCAGGTACGTCAAGTTTCTCATTGGACATATAAAGTTTTATTCGGCTCATCTATCGAATACTTCCTTAAACTTACAATCTGAATTTTATCATGTTTTCTTTCGTTTTTCTAACTTTTCGCGCATTCTTAGCCATACATCTTTTTTTTAAGAAATCATTTGCATTATAAACTAGTTATTCCTTCTGTTTTAGTTAATCGTAAATTGTATTAACGAAGAATTACCATTAGAAAAAGATTTGGGTGATGGTGGAAGTCGTATCAATAATATATTAGTCGATTATTATTTGTGGGATTTGAGGCGGGAAAAGCAAGTCGAATTGATAGAAACACCATTCCATAGAACAAGATGCATTTATTATTAATACTCATTCAAAAAAGATTTATTTACTTTCCCAATTTTTCATAACTTTATTGTTAACTCAGTTTATACGAATTGCATGAATTATTATAAAACAGACAGTCATAAACTTTTAAAAAAATGTATGTACATGATTAAATTAGACACTGTGAAAGGAGAACTTTATATCGCGTAAAAGTCTAATAGAAAAATGGATTTTAAAACTGATAAAATGGTCACTTACTTTAAAACTGTTAAAATGGCTACTGTGCTTTTACTTGGAAATAATTCTGGATGAAGAAATGAACTTTGTAAGTGAGCACAGAACTTGCACTCAAATAAAAAGAAAACAAAAATGGATAATGCCACATTAGTGAACAAATTTTAAAAAATTTTGTGAAAGAATTGCTTAAAACTAATAAATATGAATTGAGTCGAGTTTCGTTTCAACTTCAGCCAAATCGCAATATTTTTCTT